TGTGCCATTCCCATTTTTAGATACACTTATCACAACTGTAATATCCAGTATGTCCTTTACTTTGTTTTATATATGCCCTTGCAGGAGTATTGCATACAAAGCAGGATATACCAATGTTTACGTAGTATTTTTTACTATCTGCATCGATTTTAACAGAACCTTTTTCTAATTCTAACATTTCTTCAATGAAATCTTTTAAATATTCATTCAAGTTAACTGGTTTACTTTGACCGCAAAACAAGCCGTCCTAAAATGGATAACTTGAAAATGGGATCGATACTCTTGCTAGAATTGGCTAAAATTGTTGGGTGCTTGATTTCTGTAAAGGTAATCCATCAATATTAATTTGAAGAGAAATTGATGGAGTTTTAGAGCAAAGACTTGTAAAAAAATATGGCAAAAAATTTATGTGTTGAAATGACATAACAACACCAAAGTGAAAATACGAGCCCCCTTAAATTTTTTTGACAGTGCTTGCTCTAGATATTTTTAGTAACGTTCGCGGATATTTTGGAAGTGATGGGTGCAACACTCTAACTATATCCAAAAGTAAAGATAATGCCACCATAGGAATAGAAAATGATGCTGCCCACATTCCCAAATCAAATGATAGCTCTTTTTCTTTGTTTTTAATATCAGCTTAACTTTCCACACTGCTATAACTTTCCTCACTGCTATCATCCGACAATGACTCTACATCAATGGGTTCAATTGTATCCTGCTTCATAAACATTTCCCAATTATTTGTTACAAATTCATCATAATTACTATTTTCATTCCACTTTTCTCTATTTATTGAATTTAGATCCAGCATATATAACTCAGAATCGTTATCAGATATGGAGTTACCAAGAATTGGAAAGAAGTGATTAAAATAAACATTGATTACAAACAACATGGCTATCTTTTTGCCCCACAATATCATTAAAAGGATAGCAAGCATGAGATATAACACTATCCATCCAGTCGGGATCACGTGACTATATTGCGACAAAACTAACCATATTGAATTGGGGGAAAACAAACTATTCTTTCATACGCGAATTTAAATAGACGTACTTTTTAAAAAGCACATTGTTCTACAATTACTTTGAAACTTTATCAAAAGAATCAGCGGAAAGATATCAGCAAAAAATGAATATTTTAGGTAATTTTACTTTATTTTTGCATACTCTCTGTTGAAATAAAATAATGCATTAATTGCTGTTTAAATATTTTTTTGGTTATTTTAGGGTTAAATAAATGTCCATACAAGTTTACAGCAGATTCTTGGAGTGAAGATCCAAGTCAGTGGCATTCTTTGAGTTATCCCAAACTTTATGACGACCTGAATAAAACTCCACATAAGGAAATCTTATCGATTTATATTTTAAAGTTGTTTTATTATTTCAGTATTCCAATAATATTAGTGCTAACATTTCAAAAATTGTCTGTTTTTTTTTGTTTTATAAATTATAAAGCAAAGGAAACAAATAATTATTATAATATAATATACATTACATAGATGTATTTACATGGATATGTATTATAATATGCTTTATATTATATATTATGGAAAAAAAAAATGTATACACAAAATGAATATACATTTTTTTAAATGTTTTTTAAATACCTATTCTCCAGAAGCAATGGAAAACTATATGGCATTAGAGGCTTGGAAATTCTTTCAAGATGGCTGGGTCCAAACTATTGTTCATTTGAAAGTATGTCAGGATATTACTAAAATCAGGATATTACTAAAGTCAGGATATTACTAAAACTTTCTAAAAAGAGAATAAGAAAAATATCTATCCAACACCTCAAGAAAAAAATGATTTTTTATCAGAAATACAAACTGTGCCCAAAACTGCTGCTCTTCATTTGTTTAAAGATTTTGATAAGGAATTTATTCAAATGGAATCTGTTGTCATACCAAATTTGCCAACATCTTTAAGACAATTTTTTAATGAGAATTATAAATCATTTATAATGAGCAACTGATATCTTATTTGATGAGAAAAAAAAAAGAAATAAATTTTGACTTCTGATGCTATAGTTTATGTTGAAGAAGCAACACGAAATCAATTGTTATGTGATTCTTGGTTTAAAGTAAGGGTTGGGCGAATAACTGGCTCCACTTTGCACCAAAATTTTCATTCTAAAGTTGAAACGCCGTCTGTTTTGTTAATTTTAAATATTTGTTCAGAAAAAAATATACAGATGAAAAGTCCTGCAATAAATTGGGGAAGATTAAATGAAATAAATGCATTAACTTTATATAAACAGATTCATTCTGATTCAAATGCAATAAATAATTCAAAACCACTGTCAGATATTATTGTTAATAAAAAATTGGGAGTTGAAAAAATAGGACTTTGAATTGACTTTGAAAAACCATGGTATGCAGCATCTCCTGATGGTGTTGTATATTAAACTTGTTATGGACATGGAGTTTTAGAAATTAAATATCTTTTTAGTTTGAAAGACAAGTTATTAAAAGGGGATCTAGTTAAGGATGCTTTTTGTGTTGGTGTAAACGTGGATGGAAACTACTTTTTTAAAAAAGAACACCAATATTTTTTCCAGGTTCAACTTGAAATGAGAGTAACTGGAGTGAGTGTCCACACCAGTGAAATGAGAGTAACTGGACTGGGTGTCCACACCATGAAATCACACTTCATGGTGTGGAAACCTAGTGAGTTTGTTGTATTGCGCATTGAGCCTGACACCACTTGAGAATGAGAAAATGAGAATGTGTTAATTAAGTGTGATATTTTTTGAAATACTTTTATTTTGAGAGAGTTAGTTACACGAGTAATAGAATCAGAAAGAGAAATGCTCCCCTCTACATCAAATAATACTATAAATAAAGATATACTTTTTTGCATTTGTAAATCTAAAAGTTTTAAAAAAGATGGTACAATGTTTGGTTGTGGTTTATGCGATAACTGGTTTTATCTTAAATGTTTATCTTTGAAATCAGCACTTAAATCTACTGTATGGTATTGCAGTGACTGCAAATACAAAAAAAAGTTCCTACACACAAAAAAAGTAGTTTATGTATTTTTAATTTTTGAATAGAAATCTTTTTTATAAATAAAATACTAATAGACACTTAAGTTGTTTTGCCTTTAATATAAAAAACCTTGTTTTTCAAAAAGTGGAAATTAATTGAAAAAGACATTTTCTATAGGAGTCATAACAACCTTGGATTAGGTTAGGTTATAGGGCACACGCCCGACACTTTTAGGTGCTTATTAAAAAGGTGAGTGGGATTTTTTCTCAAGACCTAAGCAGGGATTATCTTTTTTCGAATATTTCCGGAGTTTTATTTTTAACTTTTAATTCTTTCGGATTTACAAAATGTTTTTCATACATACAAATTTAGGTTTTTTATTTCTGTAATATATTTATTTTTTAAGCCTTTTCACTCATCACTCATACAAAATTTGAGAAAAAAAGTTTGGAAAAAAATTTAAAACAACTTAGCTTAAAGCAAAATTAAGAGAAAAATAAAGGAAAATATATTCCACATTATTTCCGGATATTTTACCCAAACATTTTTCCAGATTTTTGAAGTATGACCTGGATAATATAAGGAACAAGAGCGGGAGAGTGGTTTTTAATACGAACTCTCGATATCTTGTTTTATAGTTTTGATTTGTTAAACAGTACACTAAAAGGATTTATTTTTATGAGTGTCTTGGTAAATTTTTTGTTTGACCTGGTTACGCCTAAAGTTAAAAAATCGTAACTCCTGCAACCCCTCTCTCCCTTTTTCTTTTTTTTATCATTGAACTTTTTGAAAATAATAATAAACGGGAAAGAAGATTAAAAAAAAAGAAGGGAGGGGGGTGGGTGGGCTAGATGTACTTTCAAAGAGTGGTGAGGTCTTAAAACGAACTGAATATTTTAATCTTACTTTAATTATAACTAAAGATAGCTTCAGTTTGGTACAGAAGATTTTCCAGAAATTTTACCCAATTTCTCTAATTTTTTAACGGGAATCTGAGTTCCCTTACTTTTCTCTAAACCAACACCCTGCATTTTTTTGTTTTAAACGAATACGTTTCATGACACGGTAGAGAATTACTCTCAATTAAAAACCTCCAGTTTTTAAAATTATAACTTACTTGCAACAGTTCCTAATAATCTTGAAAAGAGAACCAAAGAAAATTGCCTGCAGGGCTGAAGTTACCCAAGGGTCACTCATGAAATGTGAGCACGTATGGGGATGAGAGTTACCCGAGAGCGTACAGGTGTGTACAGCAAACAGTGGTGTTCATAATGGCAAATACGTACGTGGTTTGACTATCTCTTATGAATGTTTCCTAAACCTATTTTATTTCTAACAAAAGACAGAATAATTTTCATTCCCTCTATTAAAAACTCTCCTATCACTTTCTGTGATAGAAGATTAGGAACGAGAAACCCTAAAATCTTGCCCCCCAGCCCCAAACGTAAGAGCAACAAGTTGATGAAATATTTTTTGTATAATTTTCAACTAGACTCATATTGATCAATAAATTTTAAATTTCATAGTAAAATATGTTATGGTTCAAAAATTGGTCATAACTTTTGAATACTAATATATTTTACTATGAAATTTAAAATTTATTGATGAATATAAGTCTAGTTGAAAATAGTACAAAAGATATTTCATCAACTTGATGATCTCACGTTTGGGACAGGGGGAAGGGTGCTAAGATTTTAGGGTTTCTCGTTCCCAATCTCTTATCGCAAAAAAGTTTTTTTTTTAAGAATCTTTTTGTCATACAAATAAACGTATAAAAATTTGGAATATTCTTGTTGTTTATAAGGTTTATAAGTTGGTAATTTCAAACATTTAAAAACCTTCCTTCGCCACTGCATATATATATATATATATATATATATATATATATATATATATATATATATATATATATATATATATATATATATATATATATATATATATATATATATATATATATATATATATATATATATATATATATATATTGGAATAGCATATACAAAAAGACTACAGACTGTATTTTTTGTTACTAATAATAAAATCACCTATCACTTGTAAAGAATTATCTATGCCAAATAATACTTCAATATGATTTGGCTATGAAAATAGCTGTTTAAAAATAACTAAGATAAAAAGTGTTTTATCGTAAACAATACTTTCCCCAAGGTTTGTTAGAGCAGCGCATTCGGTTACTATTTTGTCACAGAAAAAGTAAGTGACGTAGCTTTGTCAGAAATGTTTTTAATTGTACGCTGCGGCATAGCACCTTGAAGAATTGTATAGTGATTTTTTAATAGTCCAATAACTCTTTCAATATGTATTATTACCGATGATATATTACGAGATTTTTCTATATCTGAAGCAGAAAGTTGAGCTTTACCTTTCGTAAAAGCTGGATTTATCAATAAAGAGCAGCTTCCAGCAGCAAAATCATCTTGCAATGTAAAACCTCTATCTGCTCAAATTTGATCACCTGGCATATGGTACTTGCTAGATGCAAATTCTGATTTACGTACAGTTTGATTATCTGAAATACCTTCGTAGCAATTAGAAATAAAATGGATAGCTCCAAGAGGTGTACTTGATATAAGACATTTTATTGTGCAATGCTTTTTATATTGACTGAAAAATTGTGTATTAAATTTGAAGTACATAAACTTTGACATTAATAAATCCCTTTCTAGGTAAAGATTATTAATTTCACTGTAGAGTTGTTGTCTCTCAGATCTAGTTACAGGGTTTACGCCATCAATATTTGCATACAAATTGTAAAGACTTTCAGTGGAATTTTGTTTTAACTGACAATCGGTGTCAATAAGAACACTTGTTTCTAAAAAATAGAAGAAAAAAAGTATTTGTATTTAATTTTTACATACATTTTATATAAAAGACAAAGATATAATTAAAGCTAAGATAAATACTTTTTCCGTAACTCTCATTGGAATCTTCAGTACTTAAAGGAATAGGAAGTTCTAAAAAAAATAAAAAAATTTTATTATGAAATTCCAAAAAAAAATACATGAATTGGTCATTTAAGAAACACTTCATATCCAAAATAAAAAACTTTTAAGGAATAAAAAAAAAAACTGATCCATAATCATACATTTTAAAACATTAACAATGCAAAATACAAAAATTAGCTAGTTTTTATTTTAATAGTAATTGTGTGCTCCATTCATATCTATTCTAAAACTAGTGCTAAAGCATTGTTTTATAATAACTCTATAGGGTATAGAAACACTAAAATCTGGTAAAGAAAAATCAAAATTTTAAGGAAAATAAAAGAATATACATAAAACACAATGATCAATACCTTCTCTAAAACTTTTGCTAAAGGATTGTTTTAAAAGATCTTTTTTACAAGTAGAATTTTTGCTGGAACATTGTTCTAATTGTTTCTTATTTGATGTAGAAGGACAAAATTCTAGAAAATGTTTTAAAAAAATCATTATTGTATACCATGTATTTTTTAAACATAAGACATGAAGTTAAAATTACAATCACAATTTTGTTTCTTTAAATTTTAAAGCAATACCTTGTTTCTCAAAACTCTTGCTAGAACATTGTTCTAAAAAACTTTCTGTGAATGCAGAATCACTGATTTCTGAAAAATTGAAAAAAATCTTTTTACAGTATTTTTTTATTCATTTACATTACATTTATAATATCAATAAAATTAACTAATATACTGCATTGCTAAATGTTAATGACCTTTACTACATAAACTCTTTTTTTCAATTTCATATCAACTTCTCTGTTAGATTTATCAAAAAGTTTTAGTTTCTTACGTGCAGGAGCAACCAAATCTGTTTAAAAAACAAAAAAATAAAAATTCATCAAAAACAAAACTAAAACATAGCATTTCAAAATAACAAATGAGAGAATTACTAAAAATTATTTGAAAAATAAAAATAATTTTTAGTTTGTCTATTTGTTTTTCTATTGACTCTATTAATTCTATCAATACTAATTTTTCTTTGAGGGAAAATTAGTTTTTCAGAATCAAAGATTGAAGGAATTGAGTTTTATACTATTGTAGTATAAAAAGTACTAATATTTGTATAAGTATTTATCAATACTGATTTAAGATGCAAAATAAAAGTAACCCACCAGTAATAAAATGTGCCGAACAAGTATAACTATTGGAAGACTTAGGAGACCACTGGTACCTACATGCACCATTATCTGCAGCACGATTTATCGCATTTAACCACTTTCTTCGAAGTACTTCATTTTGAGGAAGACTATAAAACTTAAGTTCTTAATATTGTTTGTGCAACCAACGACACAACAACTTTTTGGCATATTTTAAAAAAAGCAGTCAGTAAACCGCTCTAGATTTTTTCCCAAATAAGATGGTTAATTTTTTTAAAAAATTATTCCGGTGTGACGTCACGCCGACTGGATGGATATAAGTTTTATAATCTTTATGAAAGCTGAAATGTTAATAAACTAAAACTATGAAGAAAAAAATATGTGTATAGTACATTTATATGTAAACTTTAATATTGAATATGGCTTTAAAACTAAATACAGTTCGATAATAATAATAACTTATTTCCAATAATATTGGTCCAAAATGATTGTGTTAATCGGAAATGTGCGCCATATTAAAAAATCCAACTTTATCGCATCTATTGGTTTAAATAATTATATATATATATATATATATATATATATATATATATATATATATATATATATATATATATTTATTAGCTAATCTTGGCCCAAGGTTGTGGCGTAGGAAGATTTTTTAATGTTTGAAATATCTAACTTTTAAACAAAAAAAACATTTTTTTTACGTTCATATGAATGACGAAAAAATTCTTGACAAAAAAAAATTACTGTGATAGGAGAATGGGAACAAAAAACCCTAAAATCTTAGCCCCCCTCCTGTCCAAAACGGTAGAGCACCAAGTTGATGAATTATTTATAATGTCTTTTTCTTGAAAATGCATCAATAAATGGTCAACATAGGCAATTCGTATTTTTAACGAATTCCACTCTTCCTTTTTTGATGCAAAAAATGTTTGCTCTTTACATCATCAAAAAGACTGTGTATATATAAACTTTTTGTTGATCATCGGAACCATGAATATTGCTTATAGATTCAGAAGATTGTTCAATATTCTCCCATTTCAGTACGTGATCAAGTCCAACCCATGCAAATAACTCAGCCCTACCATAACTATTTTCCCACAGTTCAATTTAAGATATATAATGTTTATATAAGGAATTTACCTCTGTCATAAATGTATTTACATTCTGGCCATAAGTAATAAGTATTAGATGCAGTTATTCAATAGCTCGAATCATTATTCCTGTTATAGTCTAGGTATAGTTACATTTCATTTTGTTGTGTTTTAAGGAACAAATATAATTTTGAAAAACAATAGTTTTTCTTCTGGTTTTTTAGTAATTACTGAAGTTATGGAAAATGAAACTTCATTTTTAAATACGCAGTTGTCTCTAGTTTTAAAAACTTTAAATCATTCACGCTAAAGTAACACTCTTTATAGTCTGGTCCTTTATTTGTGGCTAAAATGTGAAAATAAAAAGTGCTTATTGAATGTGACAAAGTAATTATTATTGAATAGGTCTTATTCAAACAATTGTTAATAAAATAGCGAAATTTTTTTTTTTAGCAACTCAGTTATGGTCACACACATACTTTTTATTTCATTTAACGTTAATGGTAGTTCTGATGGCGCGGTTCTAAACAATTGTTACTAATGCTTTAAAGTTTAAACTATTTGAGGTTCAAAGAATTCAATCAATACATTTTCACTTAAATAACAACTTTAAAAATTAGGTTTTAAGAATTTAAAAAAATTTGACATTTACTATATTACTATACTATATTTACTATATTTACTAGTATATTTATTTAATTTTTATGTTAGTTTTTAAAATTTGTTAAATGAAACCAAACACAAAATTAATTCGAAAAAATTCTTTAGATGTTAAAGATGCAGCCAAAAATGTTCTTAAGAGTATTTCGATTCGAGATACAACTAAAAAAATATTATTTGACGAAATCTACAGTAGGTAGAGCTGCAAAAATGGCAAGGTCTCTAAAGCTGTCAGAAAACTTTGAATACATTGCAAACACAGGAAGTAGAAATACTTTTTACGCTTCTAATGTAAAAGCTCTTGTAGATTATTTGCATGTCCACAAATATTTGTTAAGGTTTAACTAAACTACAAACTAGGCAGTTAACTTACGAGTATAGTGTTGGATTAAATTCAAAGAATATACCTGATTCATGGCTAAGTATAATGACAGGAAAACATTAGATGGACAGTTTTTTTTGCGTCATCAAAAATTATCATTACAAAAACCAGAAAAAATCAGACTTGCTCGTGCAACTTCCTTTAACACTGTCTCAATATTTTTTAATATTTTTGAGTAAAATATAAATTCAAACCTGAACATGTTTTCAATGCAGATGAGATAGGGTTATTAACAGTTACAGACCCTCTAAAGTTTGTTTTCTCGTGGAGCTATGCGAGTATTCTGAAACACCAAAGACCCACTTTCTTCTGAAACAGCTTGACGCTATGTCAAGCCGTTTCAGAAGAAAGTGGGTCTTTAGTGACAATTTTGGCTTTTGTGAATGCTATGAATAATACAGTTTCACCTGTATATATATTTATGAGAGTAAACTACAAGTATTTTATTATAAGTGACTTTTGACTTTATTAGTGTATGTGTTTATTTGAAGCTTAGGGGTGTGTAACAAAAGTGGTTTGATGAGATGTGTCAATTTTTTAGTTGTAATAAAACACTTTATATCCCATACCAAGCCATGTGCTGATATTAATGGACAACAATGAAAGCAAAATCATTACGTTTCAACCGCGATCTTGAACGGACGTATTATTTTATCAAAGAAAAAAAAAAAAAAAAAAAAAAAAAAAAAAAAAATGGCGAAATTTTCAGCAACCAATATAAAGGATTTACTGGAGATTCATGAAAACACATAATATTCTTAAAAATGAAATGAAGGAATTAAGAAAGGCAGTCGACTTTGTAAGTGAGAAGTATGAATCAACTCTAGCTGAATTAAAAGAACTGAAAAAAAAACACAATTTCAAATGTCGAATTAACAGATAACATAAAGTTTAATGACAAAAACAATGATGTGAAAGACAAGCTTGCCGAACTTGAAGATCGAAGTCGCAGAAATAATCTTAGGTTTAATGGAGTCGAAGAAAGCGAGAACGAATCATGGGAAGACAGCGAGAAAAAAATTCAGGAAGTCTTAAAATCCAAGTTTGGTTTTACTAATAATTTAGAGATTGAAAGGGCACATCGAACAGGAAAAAAAAAAAAGACTTAAAAAGAACAGAACAATAATTGTAAAATTTCTTAATTACAAAGAAAGAAACGCAGTTTTTGAAAAATTTATCAAATTAAAACTTTGGAATGAAAAACTATATGTTAATGAAGATTTTAGCGACAGAACCATGGAAATTAGGAAAAAGTTGTTTAAAGAAGCAAAGGAATTGAGAGCCAAAGGTAAATTTGCTAAAGTTATTTACAACAAACTTATTACGCGAGATTTTTAAAATAAATTCTTTTATTTCTAGTTATTTAACTTTTAAAAATGGATTCTAATTATCAAAACAATTTTGATTCGTTATCATTTAACTTTTTTCAATCTAACGACTTGGTGCTTGACACTAATTCAGATCCGGATTTAAACTATTTTTGTGATGTAGGAGCTTTGCAAACAATTGTTTCTACTTCTATAACTTTGTTATAGAAGTAGAAACAATTGTTCCTACTTCTATAACAAAGAAATAAAAGAATTTATTTCTCGGGATCATTTAAATGTTATTCATTTTAACATTAAAAGTCTTAAAAAAAACTTTGAAAATTTGTGTACTATAATAGAGGAAACTTCAAATATATTTAGTATAATTTGCTTAACTAAAACGTGGTGTGAATTTGATGGCGCTAAATCTAATTTAAATCTCCATCTTCCAGGTTTTAATATAATCCCACTAGCGCGTAAAGCAAATAAACGCGGAGGTGGTGTACTTTTTTATATAAAAGAAAATTTGAGGTTTTTTATTAGGCCTGAGATGAGTATTTCTGATGACAATAAAGAAATTTTAACAATTGAACTTTTAACCAATAATTCTAAAAACATACTTATAAGCTGCTGTTATCGCCCACCATCTGGCCATATTGAAAGTTTTAATGCATTTTTGTGTAATGATATTTTAAAAAATAGTTTTAAGGAAAAGAAACTAAATTATCTAATTGGTGACGTAAATTTAAATTGTTTTGAATATCACGTTAATAGCAACATTAAAAAGTTTTACGATGACTTATTCGAACATGGATCAATTCCACTAATTAACAAACCTACTAGAGTAACCTCAACATCAGCTACCTTAATTGACAACATTATAACAACTGATATCTTCAATGAAACTCTTAAAAAAGGTATAATAAAAAGTGACGTTTCCGACCACTTCCCTATTTTTTTCTCTGTTAATATTGACAACAAATTAATACAACAACATAAAAATGTCATTATCAAACGCTTTTTCACCGATGCTAATCTTGCGTCGTTTAAGAATCAATTATCTTTAATAAATTGGAATCATATAAACAGTTCGTTTGAAGCTAATGAAGTATACGATACATTCTTTCAAACTTTCTATGAAATATATGATGTAAATTTTCCAAAACGTGAGTTTATTAAAACAAATAAAAGTTTAAAGTCACCATGGGTCAATAAAGATCTTAGGAAATCCTCAAAAATAAAGCAAAAACTGTATATAAAGTACTTAAAAAACCAACACTAGAAAATAAAATTATTTATAAAAATTATGCTAAAATGTTTGAAAATCAAAGAAAAAAATTTAAAAAAAGATATTACTATGATTTACTAGAAAAATATAAACATAATTCAAAACGCACATGGCAAATTATAAGTCAAATTACTGGAAATAGTAAATTAAAATTATGCTCTTTACCTAACACTATAAAAGTTGATGGTATATTTTTATATGAACCCAAACAAATTGCAAGAGAATTAAATAAATATTTCGTGTCTGTTGGCCCAAACTTAGCTAAAAATATTCCAAATATGATTAATCCAATAAATGATCACGTGTTTCTATTAATCTCTAGTTTAAATAAATTTGAAGTATCTTGTTCAGAATTTGAAAGTGCTTTTAAAATGCTTAAAACTAATAAAGCAGTTGGTCCTGATGATATAAATTGTAATATAGTCATAGATTCATACGATACCATAAAACATATTCTTTTTAAAGTTTTTAAATGTTCTATTAATCAAGGAATTTTCCCCGATCAATTGAAAATAGCCAAAATAACGCCTGTATTTAAAGGAGGTGAACCGTCTAATGTCAGTAATTATCGACCAATATCTATCCTCTGTGTTTTTTCAAAAATTTTAGAAAGAATTTTGTTTAATCAAATATCTAATCATCTTGCTATTAATAATATACTTTACATAAACCAATATGGTTTTAAAAGAAATAACTCTACTGAACATGCAATAGTTCATCTTACTCGTAGTATAACTGATTCTTTCGAAAAGTTAGAATTCACTTTAGGCGTCTTTATAGACTTATCTAAGGCTTTCGACACAATTGACCATGAAATACTGTTTAAAAAACTTGAACATTATGGTATCATCGGTAATGCTTTAAAACTACTAAAAAGCTATTTAAAACATCGCAAACAATTTATCTATATCGACGGATCTTCTTCACAAGATTATTTAAATATAGATTATCTAAATATAACCTGTGGAGTTCCACAGGGATCTATACTAGGGCCCTTATTATTTCTAATTTATGTTAACAATCTCCATGAAGTCTTAAAATTAACAACTACAATGTTTGCTGATGATACAAACCTATTCCTATCAAATAATAACATCGACAAACTTTTTTATGATATGAACATTGAACTAATAAAAATATCTGACTGGTTTAAGTTAAATAAACTTTCACTCAACATTGATAAAACTAAATGGATTTTCTTTCATCCACGATTTAAAAAACATTTACTTCCAAGTAATATGCCTTTTCTTCATATTGATAATATTCAAATAAAAAGAGTAGTTTTCACAAATTTTCTAGGTATCATTGTTGATGAAAATCTATCATGGAAGAATCACATCGGACATTTATGCAACAAAATTGCAAAAAGCATTGGAGTTTTATATAAAGCAAGAAGCGTTTTAAACAAACATTCACTAACTCAACTATATTACTCTTTCATACACTGTCATATTAATTATGCTAGTATTGCATGGGGTAGTACCCATAAAAGTAAATTAAAGCCACTTTATTGTCAGCAGAAGCATATTGCACGTATTATAAATTTCAAAAATCGTTTTACTCACTCAAGGTCACTTTTATTTAACATGAATGTTTTTAATATATATCAAGTAAATGTTTATAATGTTCTTTGTTTTATGTTTAAATGTAAAACCAACTCTTCTCCAGCTTCCTTTTTTGATTTATATTCTTTAAAAGAAAAAAACAAATATTCTTTAAGAAATGATAATTTTATTAAACAACCAAAATTTCAAACAAACTTTGGTAAACTTTGCATTTCTTTTCGTGGAGCTTTTTTATGGAACCAAATAATTTTAAAAAATTTTGATTTTTCTCATGAATGGAATTATTATATGTTAAAACGAAAACTAAAAAAAGTAATATTCTCAATTGAAAATATATTTATATAATTTTAATTTTACCCAGTTTTGTCAACACTCATTTATATTTTACTTTTATACAATATTGATTTAAAGTTTATGTCAAAAACTGTAGTTAAACATCATTATTTAAATTTTGTTAAAAGTTCCACTGACATTATTTGTACAGTAGGCATTTATTATTTACTTGTTTACTTTAATTTTTATTTTATTTCGTAATTTTGTAAATAATTTGTATTACGAACGGTATATACTTTTAATATTGAATTTAATTTTGTAATGAATATATATATATATATATATATATATATATATATATATATATATATATATATATATATATATATATATATATATATATATATATATATATATATATTATTATTATTAAAAAAAAACAAACAAAAAAAAAAATACAAAAAAAAAAAATTTGATGTATGTGACTGGATGTATCTGTAAACATTGTATATATGATATTTTTGGAAGTTAATCATCCTTTGACAGTGGTTTAGCAATTTTGTCGGCAAAAGCGTTAACGTAAATGCACCAACATCTGATA